TGTAATGTTCCCTCAAAATGTAAATTAAAAGTGAAAGCACATGGAAAGCACAGGAAAATACAACTGTAGACAAAACTTTCAAAATCAAACTCCAAAACCTCAGCAATGGGATTGTTTCAAACTAAAAAAGTTTCTGCACATAAAAAATAATTACAGAAATCACAAGATAACCTATAGAATGAGGGCAAATCTTTGCCAATTATTAAATGGATAAAGAATTAAAATCCAAAATGTACAAATAAGAGCTCAGGTTTGTCTGCCACTGGGGCTATTCTGCTTCTGCCGGTAAGGTCATGTGCCCTCTATCAGGACCCCTGGAACTAGTATTCCATGAATCTGAGTTCTGACACACTAGGAGTTACATTTGGGCTCCTGGGAGCTTTCCAAGATGCCTTTTGCTTCATACCGTACCAGGACATTATTCGGGGAGTCAGAGGGGAGGGAAAAGTAGGAGAAAACAAGGGAGGGAGTAATAATGTTTGACAAGAAATTTACTCATTACCTTGCTTATGTAATTGTAACCCCTCTGTATATCACTAGGACAATGAAATAAAATGAAATAAAATGGCTAATACAAAAAGGGGCTGAAGATGTGGCTCAATTAGCAGAGAGTTGTCCTAGCAAGTGTTAAACCCTGACTTTAATTCCCAGAGTGCCAATAATTAATTAACTGGTTAATTATTTAATTAATTAATTAAAGTGGGTACTCGGGGAGGCATATTTTTTCTTAGAAAGAAAAGGCAAACTCTCTCCCTCTCCCTCTCTCTCTCTCTTTCTTTTGCTAGTTATGGGCCCTGAACTCTGGGCCTGGGTGCTGTAGCTCAGCTCTTCAGCTCAAGTATAGCACTGTACCTACCACTAGAGCCACAGTGTCACTTCCAGCTTTTTCTGCTTATGTGGTGCTGAGGAATCCAACCCAGGGCCTCATGCATGCAAGGCAAGCACTCTACCACTGAGCTACCTTCCCTGCCCCAACTCTTATTTTTGAAAGGGCAGCAACCTCATGATCTAGACACCCACACTTCCTAATGCCTATACTTAACTTTCTACACCTGTTGAGGTCTAGGATTTTAACAGATCGCAGATAAACTTTCAACTCATATTGAATGAAAGAATGAGATGTGTCCTCTGAAGTGCTAACCAAACTAGGTATCAGTTAGAATGAGTAAAAGCAGTTAGGGATGGAGAAAAGGTCAGTGTGGGAAGTTCACAGGAACTCACACCTGACTTCAGGCATGTCTGACCCATGGTATTGAGTTTCCCTCCAGGGGTTAAGTGTAGGCTCCTGCTATTGAGTTTCCTTCCAGATCAGCAGATCCGGGTGACCTGAGTTTAAGTACAGAAGCAGAGTAGTCTTGGTATAAGACAAACCTGAACTCTGTTTAGCAATTTACTTATAAAGCTGATGTAAGAATTTATGGGAATATTTTGTATAAAGAATATGGCATGATTACTGCATATGTTGATGTGACTTTTATTATATTGTTATTATATGATACTCAATGTATCCATCAAAATGTTTCTACTGTATCATATTAGTAAAAGTTAATATTGTAAAATGTATTTTTTACTTTCATTTAGCATCATTATTTAAAAATTTTATGTGGTAGAGTGTGACATGCTTACAAGGTCTCAAACTCAAATGAGTGTATCCATCATCTCAAGTATTGATCATTTCTTTATGTTGGGAACATTCAAAATCTCTTTACTTGCCATTTTAAATGTATAATGAATTGTCATTAACCATAGTTACTTTACTGTGATATAGAACCCTAGGAGTGATTGCTTCTATACAATCGCACTTTTCCACCCATTAGCCATTATCTTTCCATTTTCCTTCTTCCTACCAATCTTATCATCCAATAAGCACTATTTTTTTTTTTTTTTGGTTGGTTGTAGGGCTTGAACTCTAGGCCTGGGTGTTGTTCCTCAGCTGTTCAGCTCAAGGCTAGCGCTCTACACTTGAGCGATGGCACTACTTCCGGTTTTCTGGTAGTTTTTTGGAGATAAGAGTTTCATGGGCTTTCCTGCCCAGGCTAGCTTTGAACATCTCAGCCTCCTGAGTAGAAAGGATTCCAGTTTTGGGCCACCAGCACCTGCTGTCAATAAGCACTGTTCTTATCTCTTCTCATACGATTAATACTTAATAATCTGAGGACTTTGTACATACATTTCTTCCAAATGCTGCAGTTGAATGAAATAGTTAACTCTTCACAAAGATTCTTTACAAAGAAACTGAGAAGAATTTCTCTTACCATGTTTACTTTAGGAGGAAACCAAGGTATAGAAAGGTTGACTGAGTTCCCCAAAATCATACAAGAACAAAATGCAGTATTTGACCAACTTGTTGCTTCTACAACACCAGGGTTTCCTTTGTTTCTAATATTTTTATTTGAATTTTATTACCCTGTCACTAGAGTAAAATGTTTCTATTTAATTTAAGGCTATTGAACTTGAAATCTTGAAGCCAAAACTTTAAATGTAAACCTTGTCATCTCACGAGGTAAGTAGACATTGTACACCCTGTGTACAATCATTCTACAATTTCATAAAAGTAAGCTGATGATGGAACTTCTTGATATTTTTAGACTTTAGCATCTGTGTGAGAGAATGAACAAAACAAAGCTCAAGATTCATAGGAAAGAGATGAAAAAATTTCCCACAACTTTTACTTTCTAATCAGCTACTTTGAGTAAAGCCTAAGCTACCATAGACAGTGAAACTTCCTATAGTTTTGCTAATGGTAACAAGCAGCTATCCTCAGACTTCATCTACCTCCAACAAGCATTCTAAATAGTCTAGAACACTTCACAAGTTTTTAGGTTTTTTTTTTGTTTGCTTGGTTTTGGGGGGTCCAGTTGTGGGGCCTGAACTCTGGGCCTGGGCGCTGTCCCTCAGCTCTTCAGCTCAAGGCAAGCGCTCTACCACTTGAGCCACAGCTCCACTTCTGCCTTTTTTCTTATGTGGTGCTGAGGAATTGAACCCAGGGCCTCATGCATGTAAGGCAAGCGGCTCTACCACCTTCCCAGCCCCAAGTTTTTAGGTTTGTAAAGTCACTTTTATCATTTCTGAAATCCCTGAAAGTTATTTATTTATTATGTTTAGGGAATTCCTTAGTTAAAGTGAGTGAGCAATTTATCTTGGTCTAGATGCCTGTCCTCAGATTCTTGCAAAGGATGCTTTTATTCATGATAATGAATATCAAGTTTGATTGTATTGCTATTTTTTGTAAAATTATTCTAGTTTTTTAAAATAGTATTGGCACTTGGCAGGAGCTCCACCGCTTGAGTCATGCTTCTAGCCTCTTTTGTTTACATTGTCAGACTGGGTCTTGTGCGTTTGCCTGATGACAGACGTGTGCTACTGCACATGCCTATTGATTGCTGCGACTCCTCCATTGTTTTAGAGTCCAGGAATGAGTTCCTTTGAGATTTCAACTGAATTCTGCATCTCACTGACAAGGAAATAGCAAAAAGTTATGGAGGTATATTAAATGATTTTCTACCTAAATGTGACTTTACCCTTGTTCTTAGCTCATCAATGTAAGCCACGATCAGAATGTCTCGTTTATAAGCAGAGAGCACATCAATGCCTTAGTTCCTACACTAGGACAACTGTTTCTCCCCTGAGGATACCATCGGTCCATTGTGGCACTCGGCTGGCAACAGGTCAGACCTGTGCTGGGCATCCCATGGGCAGGGGCAAGGGTGTGAACTTGGCTCAGCTGACGCCTCCAGTGGATTCCTGCAACTGGTTTTACCTGATCTTGTTGGACTGAAATAAACAAAGAACTGAAAAATAAGACAGAGGAGAATCTAGGGTCAAGGCTTCCAATGCATACCTTCTCATGACAAATGTAGATGCTGTATTACTTATTATTATTATTATATTTTTCGTTGGCCACCCTGAAAGTTTCTGTTTTCAGGGGCTATTCCTTACAGCTTCCTCATGGATGTGGGGTGGGGGGGGAGGTTGGATTGGAACAGGAGTTGAGAGAACTTTCTCTTCGTGGAGAGGACATCTGATCAGCCAGGAACCAGGCCCTTTGGCCCTCTTTTTCCAGCTCCAGGCCAGCTCCTTGCATGCAGCTTTGGCCTCCTGACCCCAGACAGTCTGGGTTGCGCAGCCCCCCAGCTGCGCGGCCGCCTGCCAAGAGTTCGAGACCTCCCCATCCGGATATGATGAAAAGGAGGAACAGAGAGAGAAGTGTGTGAGCCTGGCCAGAGTGGTGGAAGGGGGAAGGAGAGGCAAGGGGGGTGGGGGTGGCCTAGGGTCGTCCCCGTCCCCGGGAGCCCGGCGGGCCCGAGCCAGCGGGCTTGAAAGAGGGGGCGGAGCGCGCGCCGGCAGAGCCACCGCCGCGGTTGCCGCCACCGCGACGACGTCTGGGCCG